AAGTTAGTGCAGGGTTCGAGGAGAGTCCGATCGGTTGGGGATCGGAGAGGTTCCATTGGAGAAGGGATCGAGTTTCATGGAGAGGGGAATATATTTGGAGGTTTTAGGGGAGGAAGAGGAAAATCTTATGTTAGTTTTGCTTGGCTTTGAAGCCCCGAGCAACTAACCTCTATTAGCTGGTCCCCTAATTTCATGACGAGCATGAAATTCCATTTTTATTTTTATTTTTAAACATTGATTGGCGATTTTGTCGTCATAAACTTGTGATAAATATGAAATTCTGTCATCGTTTTCGGGCGATTTTGTGCTTGTTAATGCGCTAAAGATCCATTGAATTCATGGAATTAAAACTTGCATAGAAAAAAATACTTGTAAATTTCGCTTGGGTCAGTTGATGTGGCCCCTACTTCTTCAAGTCATAATGAGTCCAGATGATCTCCACCAACTACCGATGCTATTGAAATGATTATTGACGTTGGTTGCAATGTTCAACCTAGTTGTGCTGGTATCAGCGTTGTCTTTCGCAACATTCGACGTTCAATTCTGCATGTCCTTCCCAGCCCTCTTGACCAGTAGTTTGAACCTCTCATATTCGAATTAGTAGCAACTTAACATAGACTACAGGTTGCTTGTGGTGCGGACAACGGGTTACTTAAAATTACTTGTTAATTCAGATTGTTTGTTGGCGATAACTTATTACTGGTGATATCTTATTACTTGCTCGAGTTTTTGAAAATTGTAGTTTCGCTTACTTGAGGAGAGTAGTCAATGTTATGGATCATTTTCTTACTTGGGAGCTAGAAATAGGCAAAATACATCAGAAAGATGCGAAAAAAATAGAGAAAGATAAGCAATACTTGGTTGCACCTCTCGAGACTCTTTACAAAAATGTTTCAGTTACATATATTCACTGCTAAATAATGAGGTATCCTAGACGGAAAATTCCGTCTAGGATACCCAGAATTCCGTCTAGAATGCTTATTCTAGACGGAATTCCGTCTAGAATAGGCGTCTAGTTTGTTTCCGTCTAGGATGTAGTATTCTAGACGGAAATTCCGTCTAGAATACATCCTAGACGGAATATTCTAGACGGAATTTAAAACCGTCTAGAATACATCCTAGACGGATTATTCTAGACGGAATTTCCGTCTAGAATAACTCATCCTAGACGGAAAAAAATTCCGTCTAGAATGAGTATTCTAGACGGAAATTTCCGTCTAGAATATTCATTCTAGACGGAATTTGTGGTTTTTAATTTTTTTTTTTAATTTTTTTTAAAAAGAGCATTCTAGACGGAATTTGAGCATCCTAGACGGAATTTCCGTCTAGGATGCTGTGCTACAGTAGTTTTTTTTTTTTTTGGTGCAGAACCTAGTTTGAGTTCGATAAATGTTATAACAACATCAGAGAAATATAATACAAAATTTAAAAACAATTAATTACAAAGCTCAAATATGTAGAGGGAATTCATAATATAGCTCCAATAAAAATGCTTCTTATGTTACAATGAGAATGGCAATCATACTTTGCATATACAAATCAAAACTATATCAACGAAAAAGGGCTCTAAAAAAGAGAACATAGACAGTGGAGAGCCCAGATTTGCCTTGACATCAATCAAGAATATTGTCCTCTACCAAACAACCCTGGATGAATAACACCCCCTTAGAAACAAACCAACACTTTCCCCTGAACAGGTCTGCACATCTAGCAAATGGATGCAAAGTAGACAAGATAGAAGTTGCCAACAATTGTCTCGCCATCATAGTAGAAAATCTGACAAATAGATACACAAAACCGAGTGAAGTTGAGCACCAACAAAAGATCCAAACTTTATACATCCCGTCGAGCCTCGCCCGGTCCTTCTTGCTCTGCAGTATCTCCTTCCCATCCCCGCCCCCCTCCCCCTCCCCTCCTCCCTCCTCTTCAACCAATGCTCCATGCTCTGTGAAAGAATGGCATATAACATCAAATAAAAGCAACAAATATGTTCAAAATCAGACGGTGGATTTAATTCAGTGCAATAACAATAAGGTAATTAAAACACAACAATACCCAAAGTACTTCAAACCATCTTGATATTGCTGGTTTCTCATCCTCAACAAAACCAAGTTAAAATAAAACACATTATCAACCATGCACGCCATGCGGTGACTATCAATTGCTATATTACAGAGGAGCCACAAAAGCCGCTTGGGGAACGGGATATGCAATTTTAAACTAGTCATTGCACTTGAAGCTATCTTGAAGTACTTAGAAGAAATTTGATAAAGAGCGTTTCTTCACAGAAACTAATTCTGCCACTTTAACTAGTTATATTGAGGACGCGCTCGAAGGATTCGACGGCGGAGGCGTCACCATTGCCAGCGTCGTTGGGGATCGACTGCCAGCGGCGCAGAGAGAGAGAGGGAGGGAGGGAAGGAGTTAGAGAATTAGGGGGGAGGGGGGGAGAGCTTCTTATTTCGATTTTGGGCGGAAATTTGGGGAGAATTTCGATTTTGGAGCGAAAAATTGATGTTTTAAATTTTTTTTATATGGGTCCTAGTATCCTAGACGAAAATTTCCGTCTAGGATACATGATTATTTTAAAAAAAAATTGAAAAAAATAAAACCGTCTAGAATACTATCCTAGACGGAAATTTCCGTCTAGGATGTTTTATCCTAGACGGAAAGCGAAAAATTGATGTTTTTAATTTTTTTATATGGGTCATAGTATCCTAGACGGAAATTTCCGTCTAGGATACATGACCATTTTTAAAAAAAAATTAAAAAAATAAAACCGTCTAGAATACTATCCTAGACGGAAATTTCCGTCTAGGATGTTTTATCCTAGACGGAAATTTCCGTCTAGGATGTTTTATCCTAGACGGAATATTCTAGACGGAAATTTTCCGTCTAGAATAATACAAACTAGACGGAAAATTTTCCGTCTAGAATATTCCGTCTAGGATATTCGATTTTTTACTAGTGATTGTAAAGTTTATTTATTTATTGCATGGGCCTAAATATGTACGCCCATCGAGAATTTAGCGGGCGTTGGAATCAAGTCCTTAACATCACACAACGCGTAAAAAAAATATCCCGGCCCGTAAAAACTTCGCATCCATTTTAATTCAACGCCGAACACCCACTCCCCCATTTAAATTGTTTAAGATTCCTCTAATACTATACACATCAGGCGAGATTCACGAGGTAAATGACGCAATTAGCAGCTAAACTCCACAAGTAAGGGTGACAAATTCACAAATCTGTACACGGTCTCGGTTTATTTAAGCGTTTCGCTTCCTTGAGGACATCGCACGCATTTGCAGGCTTGAGCGCGACTCCAGCTCTCCAATGGCGGTAAAGGACGGAGCAAGCTATCGCATCTCTGCGACGCCAGCGATCATCGTGGCGCAGTTAATGGGCGTAGCATCGCTGACTCTCATGCTCGTCTGGCTCTTGAAATTTAGAGGAGGCATTTCTGTCAACACTGATAATATACAACGCGATTTCAATGTAATTTCTGTTAAATCTATGAGAAGATAAATATCCATGTTTTATCTTTTTATCTCACTTTTTTGTTGGTTTTTCAACAGGGGCACCCATTTTTCATGCTGCTTGGGCTCATTTTCTTAGGAGGCCAAGGTTAGCTTTTCCTTTATTTGGTTGTATTATTAAGGAATTGTGGTTTTTTTTTTGAACTTTGTATTGTTTGGTGTTGTAGCGATTATGGCGTATAAGACGATTCCAGGGAGTAGGAGGACACAGAAGTTTGTTCACCTGTTCTTGCATCTGATGGCTCTTGGCTTGGGAAGTTTAGGACTCTACGCTGCCTTCAAATTCCACAAGGATACTAAACTGGCAGATATGTACAGTCTGCATTCTTGGTTGGGGATGGGCGCGTTCGTCCTCTACGGTTTACAGGCAAGTCATCCAATTATGTGAGAAATTTTATTTCTGTACATGTAATTATGCGTGATTTTGAGTAGAAGACGAAGATAAAACATGAATTGGGCAAATAGTCCCTTTTCTCATGGTTAACCTCATCTATCTATTTTAGGTCTAGAAAAAAGTTTAGTGTATATCATTTATTTGTCTGTTAACCCTTCATTGAACTCCTTCAATTACAAAAAAAAGGAGTGTCGAAAATAATGTTGCTTGAGTTTTGACCAACTTTCATGGAGTTGTAGCAACAAATCTTCACTAATCAAATTGTGAGGATTGCTGCAAATATGTAAGAATCCTCAAATTCCAATTCCAAAAACACTCAAATGTCAGATATCCATAACAACAATATCTTCTTTCGAGATATGTACTCTCACGCCAAATCCAGATGCAAGTACTAAGTACATATGATTTGTCTATGCGTTTTTCTTTCTCGGTTTTTCTTTCATGTCATAATTCAGATTGGACGACCAAACAAACCCAGATAATAGTATTCAAAACACGTATAACGAGATTGAATTGTTCCATTAACAATATTGACTGATTGTTTGCAGTGGTTACTTGCATTCTTCACCTTTTGGTTCCCTGGAGCAACGATGATGGCTCGGGCAAATTATTTGCCATGGCATGCTTTCTTCGGTATAGTAATCTTCCTAATGGCCATAATCAGTGCAGAGACAGGACTGGTTCAGAAATCCTTCTACTCGGATCTTATTCATGGTAGCCAAGCTCTCCTAGTAAATTTCACGGGGGTTGCTATCTTCTTGTTTGGAATCGCCACAATTCTAACTGTTATACTCCCACGAGCATATTAACTATGCTTTATGTCAGCAATTATTCTTTATTTTTATATAAATATATATGGTCATCTCCTTGTTGAAATTTATTCAGAACTTACCATTGTAATTCTATTGGATTTGATTGCGTAGGATGATAATGTGTTGTATCCTAACTGGTAAATTTTTAGTTATGTCCTATTAATAAAATCTCTACTCCTGCTAATTGAACTACTAACTGTTCTCTTCGTTTGCATTCTCTTATTTGTATAGTTTCAGGTGTGCTTTCCATTTTTGGTGTATATTTCCTTTTGTTGATTAAACGTTTTGCAGTTGTCAAAGCTATTCCATATCAGTTCAAGTAGTTCAATTTATAGAATATATTAAATTTTCATTTTGTTTTAAGGATAAAATCACTTATCTGTGCCATACCAGTACAAGAACTAGCCAACAAGTTATGTCGATAAATTTGGAAAAACAGCTTTTTTTTGCTGGACCAAAATTGTATGCGGAGCAATCCTCAAACTATAATCTTCAAGGTATTCACGTTTATGAATAAAGACGAGAGGAAGAGAAATCTGATATAATGAAGATAAATCCAACCAGGATTTATTGAGACTTTCTTTGAATAGGTGGAAGTCATACCTTAATAGTGTCTTCAGAAACAAGTATTGGTTTTTACAGATAAAAGTCATTAACAAGAGAACTGCTGTAGTTGTCATGTTTACGCATCATATCTCGGTCTATGTAACTTGAGAAGATTGATCATGCAATTAAAATTTGCAGAAAATCCTAATCAGGTTCTGTAAGCAGCAAATTTATGAGACCTTGATCAGGGTATGAACTCAAAGAACCAAATCCTGCCTGACCTTTGTTTTTATGCATGATACCCAATTCTACGAAAAGAATCCAAGGAAATTAATAAATAAAACATGCCGTTCACGGCACATTTGTGAACGAAATATCCAAGATCCCCTTGGATTATATGCTTGTACTAGACTGGCAATGTCTACATATATAGAGTATGTTTTGTCATTCTCAACGAACAAATATACTCTCTATTATGGCGACGAAGGAAAGTGCAAACGATGGGGTTTCTGCAACCCTAGCAATTGTCATTGCACAATTTCTAGGCGTAACATCAATAACTCTTATGTTTATCTGGCTCTTGTGCTTTTGAGGAGGCATTTCCATCAAATCTGATAATATACCACGAAATTTCAACGTAGAGTTTCAATGTAAATTGTAGACAACCAATTCATGTATATTTCAGTACATTTATCTTTCCACAACTTGCTTGCTATTATTTATCATCCTTTAATTTGCGCTATCTAGAGGGGTTATCAATGATAAATCCTTCTCAAAATGTCCAACTCAGGAGTGATAAGTGCCAATAAATGAGTCGACCGATGATAAGTTTTGCTGAAAATCTGAAATTATAGATGAGAAGGATCATTTACAATGTACACTTTTCTTACAACTTTGTGTATTAATTTTTCTAACATCCGCTTCATTTCCGTTAGGCGCACCCATTTCTCATGATGATGGGGCCAATATTCTTAGGAGGCGAGGGTAACATGTTGAGTTCTTTATATTGAAAAACTAAACTTAGCTGTTTGTTTGGCTACCAAGGTGTTTTTGTTGTGGTGTTTTTCAAGAAAAACACATTGCTGTTTTATTTTTCCTCCCAAGTGTTTTGAAAACAACTACTGAAAATTACCAACAATTTCATAAATCCAGAAAAAAAGAAAAAATTAATTAGATCGTGAGTTGAGAATGGTTACAGTGGTTTGAGAACGGAGGAGACCACCACGGCCACGGGCTTAGGAAGGGGCGACGGCGATGGGGCTTGAGGCGACGACGAAAGGCGACGGCGCTTAGATCTGGAGGCGACGTCGCTCAGGGGTGTAGGCGTCTAAAAATGCCTATGGGTGCCCGCACACAGCTCAAGACAAAGAGAAGGTGATGAACATCGTTATCCGAATCAAAGAGGATTATCCAACGCCGACAAGCGCATAAAGCGAATCGGCAAACTGTTGATGACACGACAACGAACCACCACAATGGAAAACGCCAAGTGGACCGCACGCGTCAATCAACATGCGTGCGTCAATCAACACGTGTGTGTCAATCAACACGCGTTCGACGGTCAATTCCGCAACGAAGCGTACAAGTCAACAAGACGATCAATTACGCAAAACGGCCCGCGCCCACGCGGGTCAGACTTGCCCCCGCGCGCTACTTCAACCCATGTTTGGTTTTTTTGACGGTTTTCTCGGGATTTTTCAGTTCCAGAGGTTCCCAACTGACTTGATATCATCTACAAACGTGGTTAGGTTGTTATTGACTAAAGATAAGGCCAAACCACTTGTTCTCATCCAAATAACCGCATCCGAGGCCTATAAATACAAGCTTAGGGCCTCCTTTTAGCGGGGGCGATTGATTATCAAGACGAGGAGGTGCTGCCGGATTGTGGAGTCAAAGGAGCACGAATTTCAGCGAGGGTTGACAGATCTTGGCGAGTTCTTCGGCATAAAGAAGGAGAGTTCGAGAGATCCGACGCCCGTTCTCGTCCGTCCCTTGAGATTAGGCTTGGTCTTAATCTCGAGAAGAGCCCTGATTTCACTTGGTCGATTTCAGCGCTTCAAATCAAATACTTTCTCGGCGAAGACGAAGCTCTGCCGAATTTTCCATCAACCGGATCCAGATCTAAGGCGGTCCACAGATAAACCCCGGCACAGGCAAAGATCCCACGCAAGCAGAAGACCGATAAACGATCTCTGCGTTTGTTTTGACGAGAGTTGTAACTTTTTGTTTTTATTGTGTAAAAGTCTTATAAAAAGACAATCTTTTTTATTTCATTATAACGACTAAAGTTGTAATGAATACCGCAATGAATACAACAATTTTCGGCGCAAACAAACTGGCGACCACAGTGGGAGCCAACAGCTTCGCTGCCGGAGCTGTCGTGTCGCAACCTCGGATCTGCATCCCGGTTGAAGAAGTGGTCGAGTACGAGTTCGACCAACTGAAGTTCGAGGAATATCTGTCGTCCTCCTCCTCCAGATCCTCCGCCTCTCGCAAGCGAAGGAAGATCAACGCCCCTGTTGTTGCGGTAGCTGAACCTTACAACACCCTTCCGGCCTCCAATGAGTCTGGATCTGCAGATCTGAACTCCTCCTCAATCAAGGAGTTGAGTACAGAAGGCGCGCCTATTTTATCGAAGAGAACTCGTCAAAGGCAGCGCCAACATTGTGCGCGCCAACTCGCTAGAGCATTGGAGTCAATTGACGGGATCCGTTACGAGGCAGATCTGAAAATTAGGCAACGCCAAGCACCCTAACAGCGGACAGATGTCCTCCCCTCCAAACCAATAGCAAATGAATGGATCCAAATCAAAAAGATTCGTTCAACTCTGGAGGAGCGAATTCAAAAGTGCTGCGCGCTTGCGCGCACGCGAATTCTTGTGCAAAAAGCACAAAAGATGCAGAAAGAAGGACATAGCTAAGAAACAACCAAGACTGCATCAAACTTGGAGGCCAAAATCCAAAACGACAGCCTCCGACCTTCCAAATCGCGGGTCACTTGAATCCGACCCTCCAACCCGTCGGTCACTTAAATCTGACCCGAGCCAGAGTCAAGGCAGAAGATGTTCTGAACCTGTTTCGTCGATCCCTATGAGTTCCGCACCTCCGACGGAGCACCGGGACAGTGCGGACTTGTCCCATTTCAAGGTTGTTAGACCCTAGAGGGGGGTGATTAGGGTCTTATGCTAATCTAATCCGATTATATGCCAACATACTCAGAAGAAAACGCGTAAGATAAACGAGCGCATTATACCTGAGGATTCATGTAAACAGTCGATAGGTTACTCCGACGGCAACGTCGATGAGTTGTACTATCGGGCTGGGGGTATGAACAAGTCTCGGAAGAGAAGTACCCGGGAATTAGAGTCTCACGGCCCGTGCGCTAAGATAATCAGGACAGTATTATCAGCATGTAGTTGCCCCAAGACCGCTCCGCAGAAGGTCTCGGTATTTGAGAGGATCTCCAACGGAATAGCTAAGTCCAAACCAAAGCGTCTCCGTAAGAAGCGAGCTAAGTCCAAACCAAAGCGTCTCCGTAAGAAGCGATCGGCTGTTCATGATAACGAACTTCTAAAAGTCACAATCAACATGGCTGATAAGGGAAAGTCGATTCGACATTCTAGTTCTGACCCTCTCGTATCGCATCGTCTGACTCGGCTACGCGTAGGGACCACCAGACGTAGGGACTACCAGAGAATGCAGAGAGGTTTATCATCGGATGATGAAGCATCAGATGCTAACTCGGCAATTGCTTCTGATAATACGGTATCCAGTCCAGGACAATCCCGCGAAGTGTTCATGATCAATACCGAGCAAATCGCCAAAATTCTTGAGGATGATCTAACCAAACAGAAAGAGGCATTCAAGATTGAAATGGAAATGGCTATGCTACGGATAAGGGAAGAGCATGACCAACAAATTCGGGCTCTATCCAATCAGTTCGGTGAATCTAGCCATCGCAACCGTACTGATCAAGCAGGCAGCGATTCAGATGTGGATGAACGTCTCAATGTTGATGACCAACGTCTCAATGCTGATGACCCTCCCGTTGATCAAAACGCTGGGGGTGGCCCCACTAAAGACGACAACGCTGGGGGTGGCCCCGTTATTCCTCTTAAGAATCGTCCAAAGCCCGATACGAGCGAGGATGAGAAAATGAAAGATCTCGAGAGTAAAATCAACGCTCTAATGTCTGATCGAGAGGTAAAGAGGACTGGCATTCCATGTCCATATCCAAGAGAGTGGGACAAGTTCAACCTGCTTAACTTCACGCCGTTTGCCGGGAAGGGTTCACCCACTCAACATCTGATCTACTTCAAGTCCCACTTGGGTATGATCTCCGGCAATAAAGCCTTGATGGTTCGGTCATTCGTTGGCACTCTTCGCAGGCCGGCCTTCGATTGGTGCCGCCGTCTCAAGCCCGGAAGTATTAACAACTGGGACGATATAGAGAACTCATTCCTTGGTAACTTCTTTGATGACGACGACGAGGTATCCATCAGAACACTTTTCGATAAGAAACAAGAAGATGACGAGACAGTCGACGACTTCGTCAAGCGCTTTCGGAATAAAGCAATGAACTGCCGAGATCCGATCACGGAGGACTTCATCCTCCAGACATGTCATAACAACCTATCTATTGAGATA